CAGAAATAGACTGACAAGTTATTCTTCCTAGTCTCTCTTAGTCTGGAAGCTCTGCCTGAAACCTGTCCAACATGGGTGACTCTGCTAATATTTGAAATAACAGTAGCATAGCTTCCAGCATTATGCAAGCTAATTCAGTATGAAAAACTGACAGACGAGGAGTAGTTCTCCAGTATAGCTGGTTAGAATGTCAATGTTTCTCAGCTTTAGGTGGTCTCTATATTCTTTATTCATCTATTTCAGAAAAAGAGCTCTGGTAACATAGTGGGTAAGGTATTTGGTTGGTAACCTGAAGTTCAGTAGTTCAAATCCACCAGCTGCTCTGCAGCAGGAAGATGAGGCAATCTACTTCCATAAAGATTTACAGTCTTGGAAACCCAATGGGGGTCACTATGAGAGAACTGACTCAAAGACAGTGAGTTTTTACATATGTATTTCAGACCTTTGTTCTCCTTCACCTCCTAGTGAATATCACACTACAAATATAGAGGTGAGTAAGTATCTGGCCAAAGATTAAGGAAGCCACTATACTGATTTCTGTAACTCCTTCTCTAGAATATGTCTTGGAAATTCTAGCCATTTCAGCAATCCTGAACACTAATATCTCTCTTCTCAGCTCAGTGAATCTACAGTCCTCTCCCTATGCTGCAGTCCAGAAAGTTTTTTAGACTGATAACTGGGGTGACTGTGAATTCATATTATTAGTTTCTTTTATATATGAATCACAGCCTTGTACTATTTCAGCGTATAAAAACAGCTGTTTCATCAATTCTTTCCAGTTTTATGTTTATTTGTGAAAAAATTTCATCAGAATGATTGGTCTGACACCAATTATGCCATCATATTCTGAGGCAATTTAAATAAATTTATATATAAATTGGTATTAAGATAATGTTTCCAAATTAACTCAATATATTATTTCTTAGCTTTAACTTTCATTCTCTAATCACACAGCTGATCTCTTCCTATGCATTTAGCCCTTTGGCATTATCTTCTGTGAACTACTTATTTAGGTCCTTTTTGTGATGCATCCATTGGATTTCCTGCTTTTTTTATTTCCCATTTGCAGGAATTCTTTTTATAATTTAGATTTAAGGTCTTGTTGGTTTTAGTAACTGAAAATAGTTTGTCCATGTCTGTGCTCTGTTAACCTTTTATAAAAAAAATAATTCATAGGAAGGAATATGTGAAAAGTCAAGTTGGTCTTTTTTAAAATGGTTTTGTACTACTTTTCAAGGAAGTCTTTCCTTTACTGCTAAGCTGTAAAGATATTCCTCAATATTTTATTTTACCCATTTTATAATTTTACTTTTCTC